ATGTACCCAGTGGCTTCCTTTCTTCTGTTCAATTAAGAGTCTCGAGATAGGTGCAAAGTAACTCACATGCAAGTTTTCCACTCTTATGGGCTCACTTTGGGACCCAATTATTATTACATTCATGCGTGTGTCTATTTCTAGGTAGGAATAACATTAGTGTATTAGCATAATCTCCTGCCAGGAAGCCGTGCGGAGTATTTTCCTGTCATTTCACTTATTTCCTCTAAAAGAGTTTACTGCTTAGGGTTTCCTAAGTGTGTTTCAAACACTGTTTCTGATAGATATTAGCACTGAATAATTATATATGGAGGATTTATATTTTGTCCTCTCTGCTGAGTAATTGTGGTGTGTTGCTAAGTTCACATAAACCATGAGGCCAGGCCTGTCCGTGACTAGGTATCTAGCAGTTGTTTTGCTGTATCTGGAGAGATGATGCAGTGCTTGCTGCTCTTCCAGAGGACCTGGGTTGGATTTCCTGCACCCACATGGTGCTCACAGCTGTCTGTAGCTCCAGTTCCCCAGGGGATCTTATATCCTTGTTTGGACTGTGGGCATCAGTCACACACATGGTGCACGGGCATATGTATATGCAAAACACCTATATGCTTTAAAAAAATCAAGGTGTTCCTTTGTTGTTTGAGTTTCAGCATTGCCTCCTGTCTCATGCAGAGATGGCTACTAATACTAATAGCACCAATCCTAGCTCTCTCAGTTCCTCTGCTCTGATTAATCTGCATGGAAACATACATTGAGCTGTGGACAGTTATCAATATCAATGGCAACTTCTGAGTAGCCAGATTATTACTGACTATTATATATCACATTTAATGTTATTTTATGTACATTATTAAGTTGTATTATTTAAGGCAAGTTCATCCTTACTCATTCCTCCCTAACATATCTCTCAAATATTCCGAGATAACCACGTCTCTTCCTGCCTGCAGGCAGGCATGGTCCACTTTTGTTCCAAGAACACTAGTTGATTAAATTTCTTTTTAAAGATAGTCTTGGCCTTTTAATGTTCACATCTCTAGATGTGAAAAAAACTTACATTTCTCCTCGGGTCTCCTAAAGTCTTCCATTTAATTTCTAGATTGTTCCATTGTAGACCTCTCCTAAATATTAAATTATGAAGTTGTGCATTACCTGTAGGCCAAAGCAATTTTACTTTTAAAAAAATCTTGATTAATTTGAACATAATCAACTAGTATGTCAGATGATTTCACTGTTTCTGATCGATGCTGACAGGTGAGGAAATTAAAATCAGGGAGGGAAGCAATTAAATACTGACAAACATTACCTTAATGAGACAACCAGATCATTTATAAGCCGTGGAATATGTTGTATTCTTGATAAGTATGTTAGGATGGTGGCTGAGATAGTATAGTTCAAAATCACTTGGCTTTTGATGGTTTGAGTTGGGGGCTACCCATAGTTGTCATCTAATGCCTTTGTCCTAATCTAACATTTTACTTGCTTCTGGGGACTGAATTCCAAATTTATATCATAACATCATTTACTTGAAATAACTCTTACTATAAGTAATCTTTTTTGCCACTTGAAATTTATGAAAGTACAAAAAATGTTGAAGAAATAACTTTTGGGATTCTCTAAATGGTTTCTAGGCAGCCGTAGTCTAGACCTCTCCTCCGAGAAGAGAAACTCAAATATATATCTTTCCTTACAAACCTTAGCCATCAGACTGGGGAGCTCTGCAGGAGCCCAGGTGCTCAGTTCTCTCCTTGCAGAGTTCCTTGCTTGGCAATGATCCCTATTCAGAGATGGCTGGGATGATGTGCTTACTAGACGTCAGCAGAATTGTTTTTCTCACAAAGCTCTGTCTTATTGCTCATTTGCTAGATTAGACTTTGCTACTTAAACTTTTTGTTGTTGCTTTTTTTTTTTTTGCATTATTACATTAGGGTTTGAATTTTTTATTGCTTGAAATGATAGATTTGAACCATAGTTCGTGAAAAGCCTATTGAAATGATCTCTGTTGTGTACGGTGGTGTGTGTGTAGTATGTGTGCATGTGTGTGTGTACATATGTGTGCGTGTATGTGTGGTGTGTGTGCGTGTGTGCCTGTCCTTATTGTCAGCATTCTTTTTGTCTTTCTCTCCTGTTTTCCACCATAGATTCTACATTTCTGCTTGATTTTATCTTAAATAAAACAGAAAATTTTAATAATGCTATTTTAATTTCAGTTAGGTTCTGAGCCTAACTTTATATAAATTCCAATTAATAGGTTGAGAATATACAAGTTTGAATTTGAATATATAGTTTTTTTTTTTTTTTGGCTGAAATTGCTTCTGAAGGTGAGAGCATTCTTGGGAGAGGAAAGATCATTTGAGAAGTGATTTATCTATTCCTTTGGGCCAGTAGGCCTAAAATCCACAGAAGTAACCAAGGGTATCTGACATCACTGCCAAAGGTTGTCATGGGTTTTCCTGTTGTCCTGACCCCTTGTGAGTTATGGAGAGTTTCACTGGTGTGGAACACCCGAGAACTGTAGAGGACATTTCACCGTCACACCCTGCGCACAGGCTGGTGACTGCATGGCTAAGAACCTTCCACTGCCGTGAGGAGAGGTTTTGATGAAAGTCTGCATGAAAGCCACGGTTGTAGGTTCTTCTTTAGTGGCTTGTATTTTAACACTTTGGGTGAGGACAACGCATCTGTGAAACTTCACTGCGGCGGCCCGAGAAAGTGTTCATGGTCACCTAGAACTGCACACTGCTTTCCTTAGCCATGTGTCACCTTCTGCTGAGACCACAGATGGGAAGTTGTTGTTTCTGCCCTTTTACTTGGTGTTGAGGCACAATCCAAACTAAAGTACATTTTTAAGATGGTATTTTTTATTTGTACACCTGACTGGCTTTCATCACGATCTCTACAATGTACTTCAGTTCTGTTCATTCATGTTTCATTCACTTCTAGCCCCTTTGCTCCATCAGTTCCCCACTTTCAAGCCTCCCTCCGTCTGTCCTTCCCTCCCTCCCTCCCCTCCTCTTCCTTCTTCCCTTCCTTCCTCACTTTCTTCCTTTCTAAAATCTCTATTTTTCATTCTGCATATATGAGAATACAGGAGATATTTATTTTTCTGAATTTTGCATTCTCTGCTTAATTGCAATTTTTGTTTTACATACTTGTTTTCCAGTTCCTGAAGTTAAATCATTCTCTCGAATCAGGAGGCTTCTCACCTTTTATAAGAGGCAAATGCTTGGTATAAGGGTTCAAGGTTAAATTTTCATCTGCTCTGTGTTAGGTTTGTGACCTCTGAAGTTGTAAAATTGGAGCTATAAGGACTCATTGAGCATATAATGAAGATGGTTTAGGATGTAATGGGCATGTTCTATGTTCTAGACTACAAAATAAAATATGATGTTAAAGAATGGTTAACGGTTAGGAGATGAGATTTTGACAGGACATCTTACCAGCCATGTTTCTGATCACATTTTGAGTGCTTTGTGAAAGGTGGACATTCAGCAAACCAGTTTTCTAGCTGTCTATGTAAAATATCCAACGAGTTCTCTCTGCTCGCCTCAGGCAGTGCTATAGGCACAGACTTGGAAAGACTGCAAACTTGGAGCAGCTCTTCTACCTAAAGCTCCAGCTTTAGTTTTTGCAGTTTAATAAGGCACTTGAGTTTCTAATATTATTGTAATTTTTGTTGCCTTGTGTGTGCACATATGCTCATGTACATTTGTGTGTGTCTGCTGAGGCCATTTAAGACTGACAGAGAGTAGACATTGCCAGGCTTTGGTTGGTGTACGCCTTTGATCCCAGCACTCTGGAGGCAGAGGCAGGCAGATATCTGTGAGTTTGAGGCCTGCCTGGTCTACAGAGTGAGTTCCAGGACAGCCAGGATTATTTCGAAGAGAACTCCTGTCTTGAAAAACAAACAAACAAACAAATGACATAGATGTTATTATGATATTTCAAAACTAGGACCACCAATCCCAGAATTAGCCATCTCAGAATGGCTCCAGTGGTGTGTGTTTGCCTCATGAAAAGAAATATTAGCAATTTGTGCATGGCCACTGTGGATATGGAGGAAAATCTCCCTGCCCCACTAAAGGTTTAGCTGAGGACAGTTTTGACTAGGCGATACAGATAATCTTCATTTTCTTTTCCTTCCTTCCTTCCTTCCTTCCTTCCTTCCTTCCTTCCTTCCTTCCTTCCTTCCTTCCTTCCTTCCTTCCTTCTTTTCTTTTTATTCTTTCCTTTCTTTTTTTTCTCGAGACAGGATTTCTCTGTAGCTTTTGGAGTCTGTCCTAGAACTAGCTCTTTTAGACCAGGCTGGCCTCGAACTCACAGAGATCTACTTGCCTCTGCCTCCCAAGTGCTGGGATTAAAGGCGTGTGCCACCACTGCCCAGCCCCCAGTAATCTTCATTTTCGTAAGAGGAAGTTGATGGAGACCTTTAGTGTCTTGCCCCAGGCCATTGGCGAGGGTAAAACAGTTGCCAGGCTCTGAATGCCATGCGCTGTTCTTGTTCAGCAGGGCAGTCAGACTGCTTATTTGACTTTAGTATCCTCATCTCCCATGACTTAGAGATACAGTGAGTGAGTCGTTCGCATTCCTTATTGTAGTGACATAGGAGAAACTGAGGCAGAAAGCGTAGATCACTAAGCCAGTGGAGAAGCCTCATCTTCTGAATTCATGTTCTGCCATTTGTTGTACTGTAGTATATATTCTTGGACAAGTCATCATTTCTGAGCTAAAGGCCGTTTTTAATGTTGTTTGTGAAATTCTACATAAGACTTACCAGTTTGCTTGTCTTTCCCTGCCTCTCTATGAAGTCCTACCTCCCTCACTTATGAATGGGATAATCTCTTTCCGTTTATTTATCAGGCTCACATGGGTTAAATGAAATTATTGAATGCAGAAATGTTTTCAAAACAAACTGCGGCATAGATATAAGGTTGTTATTATGGATGGGTTAAAGTACTCTTGGAGTCCAGTGCCCACAAGTAACTTCTGCCTGTTTTAATTTACAGAGACTAACATATCGTCTGGGTGAGCCTTGCCCATTGTCCATTGCAAAAGCCAGAAGTTGCTTGAGGTAAGAGAGGATTGGAGTCTTCACAATTACATAATGCTAATAGGCACCCAAACCTATGATGGTTAAGGTTGATTCCCAATGGAAGACACAGAAAAGTACTTTATGTTCATGAGAATCAGGAAAAATATATGAGATGGTAACCTGCCTTTCCTTTATGTCTTCTTGGTTTAATTTTTCCTTTCAATTTCTGCTCTTTGAACACCTAACAGGGAAGCATCTGGACAATATGGAAAATTGACATGTAATCAACGTAGGAGAATCCACAGTGGTGCTATACATTAGGGTAGTCTTTTCCATGGTTTTAACATGCCATTGACTAATGTATAACAGGCTGGCTTTCAACCTTGTCTGCTCAGCTTTCCTTCTGTGAGTGTAATTTTTACTCTATGATACCGTCAGAATTGTTTGGCTCTGGACTAAAGAATGCTTTAGTCATTGTGTCTGATCTTCCTGATAATCATCTAGTCTCACATCAAGGACTGCAAGGTTGCAATGAAGTAAGAACATAGAGAGTGAGTTAGTCTTTTACAGTGTCTTGCCCTTCTGTTGATGGACCACTGCTAAGGCCAGAGAGGTCATTGGAGAGAACCTCATTGTATATTACTGAGAAAATGGAGGTTATTAGAAGAGAAAGGGAACACCTGTCATTCAGCTCTTCTAATTTTCTGTATAGGCAGCCTGCTGGTCTTTGCCTTTCCCAGTGAAGCCTCTGTGTGCAGTATGATCCTCTTTACCAGGAGGTGAAGTCGTCAATAGGACCTGACCCGAGGTCGTGGAGTAGAAAGCGTTTCTAGATTTGGAGTCATCATATTGCTATAAACATTTGTTCCACCGAACATTTTGTTAATAACTTTGGTGTACTATTTCCGTGATGATGAATTGCAAACATGACTTCACACAGTCCTTTTTTTAAAAAACCTGAAATTGGTTGGTATTTCCCCATAAGTACAGGAACTACTCATTTAGAATCAAGTTGGAATTATGGTTTTAGGCTAATATGATTTTCAAAGCTTTTATTTATCAAATATACTAAATCTGTAACAGGTGGGTGACACGGATTGAGAAATGTCTTGAATTAACTCAGTTGTGAGTATAGGTGAATTTTTTCTTAGCTCTACAAAAGAAAATGTTATTAAGAGACATGTATGCCAAAAAAGATGCAAGAAAGTTTCTTTCAGTCAGACTATGGCATACAAAATCTCTGCACAAAGCCTTGTGTCTACCATATCATTGTCATGGACAAATATATCAAAAGAGAACTTCCTGAAGACATCTCTTGTTCCAGCTTTTGGTAGACCTTATGACATGTACATTCAAGTTGGAAAGGAAGAAAGGTAACCTTCCTCTATTCTCTGATGTCAGTACGGGGTCTAACTTTCGGGGGATCTAGCCAACTCACCCACGGTCAACACCCTAAATAAGAGGGAGTATCCCCGTCTGTCCTCTACTTATACTTGGTGAATCATTAGACCGACAGGTCAGAATGCCTAATGCAAAGGGGGTTTAAAAAGTGAATCTACCTAAATTTTCTTCTTCAGAAATCTGCTCGAGAGAGCTGTTTGTTTAGGGACTGCAGTTATCACATGCTTATTCCCTTAGTTTCCCTTATTAAATGGTGATAGGATAAGCCGGGAAGGTTATTTAGTTAGCTGCATCTCCTCACCCCAATGACATCCAACTCAGGATTGAAAAGATATTTTAATTCAACCTTGAAAAGTTATAAAAACTGCTGTTAAAAATGGGAAAGTTTTCTACCTACCTACCCACCCACCCCGCTACCAATCTACCTATCTGTCTGTCTGTCTGTTTCTCTCTCTCCCCCCCCACACCTACTACCTACCTACCTACCTACCCACCCACCCACCCACCCTGCTACCAATCTACCATCTATCTACATCTATCTGTCTGTCTGTCTGTCTCCCTCTCCCCACCTACCTACCTACCTGCCTCCTTACACATCTGTTTGTTACCCATCCATGTGCATCTGACAAGTCATCTATATATCCTGCAATGTAGTCCCTATTTTTTTGATTTATAGGTTCGTGGGAGACTAAGAGAGAGAATTATCACAACCTTTGGAAGATGGAGAACTAAATATTCTTGAGGCATGATGTACACGTTTAAAACAGTCTTGTAAAAATGGGTATTAGTGAGAATAATAAAGGATAGCCATTTAAATCCGCAATTAGACTTGACAGTATACATGTCAGCAGATATCAATGAGTGTAATCATTGTTTTTCCTCTCCTTTTGATGTTGATCCACCAACTGTGGTGTGCTCCTTGTCCCGTTTCCAAACCAAATCTATTTAAAGCCTCACTTCATGGCATTTGAAATTGTACACCCTGTTTACTCTTAAAGAACATAAGGTATCATTTCCAAATCGTTGGTCTCTGTTCTAGAACAAGAGCTGACTTCTGGACTCCTGCAGACCATTGGCTGTCTCCATTTTCTGCATGGTGACTCATTAGAGGAATAATACCAAATTAATCCCCATGGACTTGTTTATATCACCTATATGCAATTTTAAATTTTCAGTTTTGGGAAATTGTCTTGGTCTGCTTTGAATAAATCTAGTCAGCTACTGTTTCTTCTCTTTGACGTGGAGCAGAAGTGGTAACCATGTGTGGGTTTCTTCCTTTGCTACATGGATAGACTCTCATTGCTTTGGGGCGTGCAGCAGTATGCTCTGTGTGGCAAGTGGACTGGAAGGAATGAGCCTGTGACTGTCCCTTGTCTTGGTATCAGCTGGCTGTGTCACCTTGGGCAAGGCCTCTTCTCTCTCTGAGATCATCCCAGCATCTGCTGATGGGCAAAGGTAGACCAGATGATCCTGGTTTTTCTTCTGTTAAATATCCTAGTGACTAGAATATTATCCTTCTCCCTTCTGCCATGTTTCCACAACCCTGTGACTTCATCAGAGAGCCTGGTGTGGAAAATTGGGATTGTGTTTAACCCTTGATTCTTTGATCTAATGGAGAACAGTTATTGATGGGAATTTTTAGAGTATATGGATTCTGTAATTGGGTATTGGACACCTGACTGTCCCAAGCTCCAACAACACGCCATTGCAAGTTAGAAAGTAAGGGGCTCAGCTGTTTGTGTCAGTGGCTGTCAGCCTTCCTAATGCTGCAACCCTCTAATACAGTTCTTCATGTTGCATTGACCCCCAACCATACAATTGCTTTGTTGCCACTTTATAGCTATAATTTTGCTACTGCAAATATTTTTGGAGATAGCCGTTTTCCAGAGGGGTTGTGACCCACAGGCTGAGAACTGATGTTCTTTCGATGATATTGTGTGTGTTCTCATTTTCGAGGCTCTGGTAAATGCACCCATTACTAACAGCACTAAATAAAGGTTAGTCCCTTGTCTGTTATTTGCATTATTCAGTGTGTTAAGACAAGTCAGAATGTCAAAACTGAAGGGGGTTTTTTAAGAATACTAAGATTCGGAGATTGGGAATTATTTTACTGTCTATGGTTCAGACCCTTGCTCTGGCCATTGTGCAATGACATTAGGAAGGGCCAGACTTTTCTTTGAACCTCTAGTTCTCCTTCAGTGAGTTGAGAGTTGTTTAGAGATGCTAGGGAAAATTTGCCAACTCTGATTTTTTTTTGAATTTCCATTTTACCTCTGTTCTCTTAACAAGTTTTCATTCTAGGAGCGAAATACAGAGCATCGCTCTTGTTTAATATGATCATTGCTACAACTTGGGTTGGTGGAGACAGGAGAGGAGAAAGGGGACACATACGAAACTATGACCTATCTCAAATATACCTATGCCATCCTCAAAGAATGCCAGACAGCTTGAAGGCTTTATAGATACTCTGAAGGCTGTATCTACATGAGTTCTAGGGTAGGCAAATGTTACTTCTGTATGTGAGAAGCTAGATTTTTCCATTTGGTTGTTTCATGCTTCATGTTTCTTGGGTTTTTAATCATAGATCCTATGTTATTTTTCTCTGCCAGCCTTCCTTACCATGACTCTGGGCGTTCACACACACATACCTGGAACTAGCTCTGTAGACCAGGCTGGCCTCAAACTCATGGAGCTCTGCCTGCCTCTGCCTCCCAAGTGATGGGATTAAAGGCATGTACCACCACCGCCTGGCAACACACATACACACACCACACAGAGACCTGTTAAGTGATGTTTTAACCTCGAAATTCTTACTCTTCTTGTTCCATTTGTTAATTTATTCTTACAGCAAGTGTACTTTTAACTCGGGAATTTGCTAAGTGCTTATAATTTAATACAGTAAATTATTTACTTTCAAAATATTTTTTTCATATGATGAACTCAAGCTGCACCCCACCCCCATAAAGAACTTTGTCTTAGAAAGTGGAAATTCCTGTTCAAAGCAGTGTGGCTAGTGAATAGCCAGGTTTGGATTTAAGTCCAGAACAACTGCAAAACACAAGTCTTTCCGGAGATGGCGTTGAGTATGAGCAGGAATCCCCGTAGATCATGGTGAATGGGCCTTGTCTGAAAGCAGGGCTGACATTCTGGGATTTTTGACGAGGAGCAAGCTCACACCTTCTGAGTCACTTATGTGATAACTCAGTAGTTACATATCTCAACCTTCGTTCAGAATAATGAACATCAGAGAATTATAACTAACTAATCTTTTCCCCTTGGTTTTGGATCCTCTGGTATGGTGGTATTTGTAAGAGAAGGGAGAGCAAAAAGCAGCTAAGGTCCCAGCGTCCTGAGTAGAGTCTGAGTTACTGACAGGTGTGGGACTTGGGTGCTTAGGGAAGTACTTATTCTTTCTTCTTTGTTGTCCCAGGCATGGGGCTTCTTATAGAGACAGATTTCTGTTCGTACGTATCTCCACGTAATTCCAGATGTGAACAGCTGGAATTTGGTTTCTGCCAAGTTGTAATGACTGCCACATGGATGAGCCCCATACTTAGTGCCGGTGACCCACTGTGAGCATATGTGGGAGCCAGAGAGTGAAAGCCTATGCCAGAAGCAGAGGAGGCCTCAGCGGTTGT